GCTGAAGAACCTGCTTGTGTTTTGATATATATTGAGTCTTCTATGAAATGCCATCAATGTAAGAATGTCTGTTGGATGGATATGCTGTCACCATAAATATCATATTTGGAAGTCATCACTCTAACTTGGGAGGAAAATAATTATTATATAACATTTACTACCTTGATGTAACATTGCCTGGGTAGTTTCATTTATATCCTGGAAAATTATGTCCCTTACTTTGCCACGGGCACCTTCCAGCCGCAGTATGCCACTCACAATGCTCTAGGGGCACGTAACAGAACGGGAATTAGAACCACTGGTGAAGAAGCCAGAGACAAGAATTAAATAAAATGGTGACTCGCTTACCAAACAGACCAAGTGAGGCAAAGCAAGGCTACTCATGTTTGCATCCTCTGTGTCTTGGAGCAAATCAACTGAATCCTCTTGGGCCTGTCCCAGGCATTTTGTTTCTTTTACACTAGCACCTGTATTCGCTCACTTCTTGACTTTCTGCTCTGCCAATATTCACATGCTGACTGACATAACTGTCCATCTTCTCTGCTCCAGGGTTCCTGAGCTTAAGGAGGAAATAACGTAATTGTCCTAGGAACATGGATATACGATCTTTGACTCAGTTGAGCCTTTGAGGATGATCAGCAGTCCCTTTTCTTAAGCCAAGTCATTTTCCATTCTTCTTAGACATTTTCCAGGTCTCTATTGCTCCACAAAGTTTCCCAACTCTATACCTATCCTTAATTTAATTGAGAAAGTAGAGATTGGGGGGTAAATTATACCGATATCCTCCCTGTATACAAGTTAATAATTAGTACAAGGTAAAGGGAAGAGTAGCTTGAGAGGTGAGGCCCTTGGAGCCAGATCATGCCGCCTAATAGGTTATGTTAAGGGTTGGATGTGTTACTCAAAGCACAAGGGAAAGATCTTCAGGTTGCAAGTAAGAGACTGATTTTTCCGGTCCTCTCAGTAGAGTCACAGATGCTCGTAGAAGGAAGACATGCAGGGTGAGACCTACTCCAGCCATCTTCAGTCTGATGCAGTAAGTCAAACACATTGCTGATGTTTGTCAACACATCTGTGTTGTGTCGCTTAGGTGACAGTCTGCATTATTTCCTAAATTCTGCCCCTAGTCCAACTGCCCCGGAATCATTTGGAGGGATTTTATAAAATAGAGGATTCCCTGGCTCTGTCCACATGAAAGTCTGATTTTGTGAAATGGGATCAAATAATTTATATTTTCAATAAGGTCTCAAGTGGCTTCTGATCATTAGTTTTGTTTGAGGATACTGATGGGGAAAGGGGGGTGGAGCTGGGCTTTGTAGAGTCAGAGGAAGATAGGGCAGGTAAGAATGTGGGCAAGTAATTAGAAGGTGAAATCCATTCTCCACGCTGATGCCAGTTTTCCTAAAATGTAAATCTGACCATGTTGTGTGTAAACTTTCAGTGACTCCCCATCACTGATGGAATGAATTCCCATCACCTTAGAAGGACAGATAAAGCCTCTTGTGACCTAGCCCTGGCTCCCCTCTCCAGCCTCAGTTTTCCCACATCCCCTGCAGCTAGAGTTTACTTATCGTCCTCTAAGGGAGCTATGATTTATGGCTCCTGGCTTTTACTGACATTACGTCCTTAGCATAAGACATCTCTCGTTCTTTTTTGTCTGGCCCAGACTACGCAGATGTTGCTGGCTCTACGAAAGCTTCCCTCCCCTCCCAGGTGCTGGGTTAGGTGCCCCTACTATGTGCTACCCTCACACCCTCTGCCTAATGTATCACAGCACTTATCGCGTGGCGTTGTAACTGTCTGCTCACTTGCCATTTCCACTATTAAATTCTGAGCTCCTTATTGGAACATTCATGGTAGAGTCTCAGTCTTTAGCACAGGTCCTAACATACTGCAGGAACTCGAACTCTATTTGAAAGTATGAAAGGTGGTGTTACAAGTAGAGAGACTCACAGGGCAGTGTAAATTTCTGGAAGCATCAAGCAGTAGTGAGAGCAAAGCAGCAGGAAAAACCGAGGGCTCCTGAAGTTCCACGAGCCCTGGAATGTGCAAGTCTGGTCAAAACAGTGACCAAAAAATGCAAGCTGACAAGAGCCAGGAAGTGCACAGAAATAAGAAGGCAGTGAGCTCTGGGATCAGAGAAGCATCTTGGCAGAGAGCGTAGCAAGAAAATTAGGTCCTGGGATAAGATCCTGCCTACTTAAGACATCTCTTCTTTCAATAGGAGCCAACTCAAGGATGTGGTCAGTCCAAAGCCCATAGTTTCATCAGGGAGGGTGTACCTCACAAGATAGAGATGTTAAAACTGTGAGTAAGTCTTAACAAAGCAATTCCTAATCCTCACCTGTTTTCCTGCTAAGTCACAAATCCAAAGAACCAACCAGGTTTAGATGAAGTTAATCCTTTTGTGAAGGGTGAATAGAAGTAGAAGGTGTTCACCTATACTTCATAGATGAATGCATGGCGGTCATGTCTGCGATTCCAGATGAACTTTGGTGGACCCTTTGGTTTATACAGTGACTCAATGCATGTCGTCTTCATCTGCCTCCTCTTCTGAGAACCTGAGCCACCACTCCTCAGCATCCCAAGTCTTAAAGAGTCAGCAGTTTTACAGATTCGGGACCATCATAAAAATATAAAACAAAATGAATAAGATCATCCACGTGAAAGATGATCTGCTTTACATTATGGACACATTTTGGCCCCATCCGGGCTTTTTTTCCCCTCCACCATTTCCTGTAACTGGCCTGTTTTGAGTGATATATGGGGGAGAAGACCTGTGTCAGATATATTCAGCTGCCTGTCATGAGTAATTAAATCCAGTTGTGTTATTGCTTTCCTTAGTTCTAGCTGACTCTTTGATGCTTTGGTGTCCATGCCAGAAAACTACCTCTTACAATCATCAGGGGCCAGTGTTTTTGCAAAGGTCACTGCAAGCTAATTAAGCAAATATGTGAAAAATAGTTTTAAATTATCTCAATTAGTAGAGTGTGTGTATACATCTATCTAGAATGGGGGTTGAGGAGAGACTTTTAAAATGATAACTGACTTGCAGAGTTAGTGACTTGGTGTCAGAGAACTACACATATACAGCAGCTTTGTACGTTTATTAAGTTGGCATGATTTGACCTTTTGCCACATGACAGGCTATATTAGTTACTACAAGTAAACATGTAGAAAATGAACATGATATGGAAAAATAGAGTAGAGTAAGGGGGATCGAGAGTCATAGAGGAAGGTCATAATTTCAAAGAGTGGCCCGTATTGGTTTTGTTGAACAGACGACATTTGAGCAAAGAGGTTTAGAGGGTGAGGGCATTAGCCATATGGATACCTGGGGGAAGAGAGGACGGCCAGTGCACATGCCCCAAGTCTTGAGTGTGCCTGGCCTATCTGAGAAACAGCAAGGAGGTCAGTGCAGCTGCAGCAGAGTGGATAAGGGAGAGAGTGTAGTAAGATATGAGGTTTAGGGATATGACTGGGGCCAGATCACATAGGGTCTTGTAGGTTATAGGAAGGACTTTTACTATTATTCTGATTGAGAAGGGAAAGCATTGCAGTGTTTTGAGCAGAGAAGTGGCATGATATGACCTGGGTTTTAAAAGAATTCCTTTGGGATGTGCTGAGAAATGATAACAATGGAGGCAGAGGGGCAGGGGGTAGGATGGAAGCAAGGAAACCAGACAGATGAGGAGTTGATAAACTATGGCTCATGGTCCAAGTTCAGCCTGTTGCTTTTTTTGTAAATAAACTTTTTGTTGGAACACAGCTATGCCCATTTGCACTATAACAGCAGAAGTGAGTAGTTGTCACAATGACCATGTGACTTGAAAAGCAGAAAATATTTACTCTATGGCCCTTTTACATAAAAACCTTTCCTGATCCCTAAGTTATTATGTTGCAGTAAATCAGGGGAGAAGTAATGGTGTCTTGGACCAGGGTGGCAGCACTGATGGTGGTGAGAAGTGTTTGGGTTCTGGATGTGTTTAAAACGAGAAATCAACTGGATTTGCTAAATGACTGTGTGTGGGAGTATAATAAAGAGAGAAGTCAAAGATGAATCTAAAGTTTTTTGGCTTGAACCAGAACACAGTTACTATCATTTAAGACAGGGAAAGTTGGTGGTAGAACAGTTTTCATGGTAGGAGATCAGGAATCAGAACAGCTTAAAGTCAACGTTTGTGAGTTTTTAAATAACACCCAGTGAAGATGTCAAGGAGCCAATTGAATAGGCAGGTCTCAAGTTCAGGAGAGGAGTCTGGGCTGGAGATGGAAAATGAGCATAGAGATGGTATATTCAGGGTCACAGTTCTAGATGAGATTACCAAAAAATGAGAGAAAATGGAGAGGAAGACAATGAATGAGCCCTGGAGCAGTTAAACTTTAAAGAGTTTGGGAAGAAGAGGGAAAAACAGCAAAGGAGACCAAGGAGAGAACAATACAATAAGGCTAGAGTGGGGTGTTCTGGAAGCCAAGTGAAGAAAGTGTATCAAGGAGGACAGAGGGATTGACTACATCAGTTCTTTCTAGTAAGCCAAGCAAGAGGAGAACTGAGAATTGACCAAAGCAGTTTTGGTAAGTGGGTAGGAGCAAAAGCTGGATTGGAGCAGGTGTAAGTGAGCATGGGAGGAAAAGACTTGTAGAGGACTAATATCAACAACTTGCTCAGGGAGTTTTGTTAGAAAGGGGAACATATTTGCAAACAAATAAGGCAGAATCAGGCAAGGGAAGTAGGGTTTAGAGAAAGGTTTTTTGTCTTTGTTTTTAAGACAGGAGAAATAATTCGGTAGAGAGAGAGAAACCTGTGATTCAGGAGAGGAAATGGGAAAATTGCTAGAGCAGTGTCATTGAGTAAGTAAGACAAGATGGGATCTAGTTTGCAAGTGGAGAGATTGACATTAGATGGGAGAACAGTGTGATATAATATGATCATTAAGCAGCATATGGGTTTTCTTGAGGTCCATAATCGAGAGCCTTTGTCTTCAGGGCACTCTTTTGCATGAATGAAGGCACAGATTAGGTAAAAAAAAGATGAATTTAACCAGTGTTGTGGTTTTGTTAAGTGAGTACAACAAGGAATTAAGGGTATATACAAAGAAGTGAGTGTATTGATGGATCACGGAATTTAAGATGGGTAAGGAGAAGAGAGAGAATATTAAGAAGGTTGGAAACAGTGCAAAGATAGATGAATAGATGGGAGAACCTGGTGAAGTTGGAATTGGGGCACTAGAGGGGTAGATGGAGGTTATGGTCAGAGAATAGAATGAATTAAGTTGAGATTATGGAGGGATTATTGGTAATAAGAAGGTGGAGGGTTATGAATGTATAAATGAATTGCTTAAGTGGTGTGAATGGCTGGATCACTGGAAGAGAGGAATTCAAGAAACTAGAGGTTAGAGTGTTGGACTGAGTCATCTCCTGTGTAAAACTGCAATCTTCAAAGAATGAAGACGTTAGCAGTACTGGAGAGAGTGGAAGTGAACCAAGAACTAAAATCAGTGGGAAATAAAGGGGTATTACCTAGGGGTTGCTTAGTGACACCAACAATGAGGAATAATGGTTAATACAATTTAATTATATGAGATTCAACCCCAAGAGTGTCTAAGGAGGAGGAAGAATGAGAATGGCTTGGAAATAGCAATAAGAAGCTTGGAGGGTACCAACTTCACATGTGATTTAAATGTTTAGCTGAGGCTCCAAGGATAAGTGATTGTTCTTATAGGGAGGCCGGGGAAAGAATATGTCAGGCAGAGTGAAATGCTTGGGGACTTAAGAGCATGTACCTAGAAATGGTGAGGATGTGGATCTGGCTGGGGCGTCAGGTCGGGGCATGGTGCTGTGGATGGAGAGAAAGCATGATGGAAGACAGTGACAGGTCTTGTACATTCTGATTAAGCAAAAGGTTCTAGGGCTATCTTAGGTTTTTAGTCAGGGCACTTGACCTCATCAGGTTTATTTCACAAAGATAAATCTTGCTACAATGTGAAAAACGGCTGGAGGCAAAGACAACTAGAGAGCTACAGCAGTAATTTAAACTACAGACAAAAGGGCCTGAGCTTAGGCAGTGCCCATGGGGAAAGAGGAAAACACTGGGAAGGTAAGATCAACAGGAGTTGTTGCCTTGGATAGAATCGATGAGAGAAAGAAAGGAATCAAGAAAGACTTGCAGTAGGGAATGGCTGTAACTCAGTGGTGGAGTGTGATTCCACAAGTTTCCAGGGTTCAATCCCCAGCATCTGTTAAAAAAAAAGACTTGAAGATTTTTAACTATAGTCACTAGACAGAATATGCTACCTTTTACCAGCTTAAAGAATCAAGAAGCACAACCAAGATACCCTGCTAGATGGTACGTCTTTTAACAGGCAATCACACGGCAGAGC